AGTCGTGGACAACTCTATCGGAACTCTTAAGCAACAGATATATGTCTTCAGTGGTCGTGCATCGAGTGCCGGAAGCGCTGATCCAACGGCTGTCCTCACAGGAACTCCAATTGAGTTTCGGGAAAACGGATCCAAACTCTTGGAGCGCTTCCCGCAAACGGACATCCAGTTCGTTGAACTCAATGTCCGGCACATTATCATCGCTATCGCTATCGTCATCACCTGAGAGGCTGTTACTGCCGTTTTGGGGGCCATTCTCCTCATCACTACTCCAATCGCTACCAGTATTGTCACCAGCAGTGGGTCCGCTGTTAAGATAATATATCTGATTAGTGGACACAAGATATTGAGTGGTAATGGCATACCTTTTTGGCAAAATTATGCCATCGCTTAAGAGGTATTGAATGAAATCGTCGGACAGTCTCACGATTTTGCTGTTAAAACAAAATCAAATGCATTATTAATACACTATTCAATGGCATACGAGTGTACACTATATCGGGAGTTGCGTGTAGTTTAAGTTTTAATTAATTTACAAAAACTTAATTTTAGTGTTAATTACCTGTCGATAGAAATGTTGGCAAATAATGGATACCATTGACTGAAACTACAGTTTAACACGTGTTTTGATAACATATTTGTTGAATACAGGGGTTTAATGGCATTAACCACTGATTGGTGTATTAATTGTGGTTTAGATTTGACCGCAAATTGTGTCAAACGTTTGACAATACAATCAAAACACTGAACTAAATGCTTATGAAATGCATTGAAATACTCATAAATAACGCTATGTTTGGAGTTTTATTAGCGAAAAAGTTTTGAACACAACTTTTAAGCTAAATTATTTGAATTGAATTCAAATTGAAACATTATGCTCTTGGTTAGTTTGACTCATAATGTCAGTATACTATTGAATAATGTATGAACTTTAAATTGTGCTAACTTATAAAACGATTACCAGTAGATATCTTAAAATACAGATCATTTGTAGTATCAATAGATGAAAACAATTTTTGTGATTATAATTTTAGCATATTTTAGACTCATTTATAAAATAAACAGAATATAATGAAAAATGCGATAAAGATCTATAAATAAATCTATAAATTATATAAGAATTAAACATTTCGTTTGGATTCAGATTTGTTTTTATGGATCTCTCGGTCCTTATTAACGAAAATCATTGCAATTTGGGTTTTGGACCAAAACTTTTGGTCATTTTGCTCTACTTTTAGATTCTGTACAGAATCTGTAAATCTAATATAATTTATAGAAGTTTATTGTTATATTATATTAGAAATTTAGAAATAATATCGAGATTAGATTTATATATAGTATAAGTTGTTGTACAGTATTTATTAAAATTGAAAACAGTTTTATGTGATATTTTGTTGGTTAAGTGAATAAGAAATAGGTTTATGTTTTGTCATAAAACTTAATATACTATATAATGAGATGACTATCGGATTACTTCTGAGGAATACTTTGGAGCCATTCGTGTTCGGCGACGGCGTTAATGTCAGGTCTTTGGTTGGGATCCGGTTCCAGGAGTTATCGGATCAGATGAAAGCACTCATTGGTATAGTTATTACGGTATTTACGAGTCATTCGCACTCTTCTAGTCCTCATGTTTTCGTACATCTCTTTCATACTCTCCTTATCTTTGGGATTAAAACCATAGGGAATGTTAGATGAAAGCACTCATTGGTATAGTTATTACGGTATTTACGAGTCATTCGCACTCTTTTAGTCCTCATGTTTTCGTACATCTCTTTCATACTCTCCTTATCTTTGGGATTAAAACCGAAGGGAATGTTGGCGTTAACGCAGACATATAGACAGATGCCCAACGCCCAGATGTCGGCCCGGAAGGGGTCGTACTCTTTAAGTTTGGCTATTTTGAAGCCATAGTGACAGTAGACGAAGAGCTTGAAGACCTGCGGAGACATATACTCAGGAGTGCCGACACCCGACCGCTCTTTCATCACTTG